AAAAAAAAAAATCGACCCAAAATGCTACATACGCCCTTTTTGCATGAAAACCTTCAATTATAAATGTTGGTGCTTAAAATACCCCAATTCCAAACTTTGCAATGTCTTGAATGATATGACCTACATTTTGTAGTGCTAGTTTGTCTCAAAAAAGGTCAATTGGGTCAAGTTTGTAGGGAAATTCCATTTTCTGGCTATATTTTTTAAAGAAATGTTTATTAACAAACAATTTATTTCTCCTTGTGTCGCAGACTTGTAGTGTGTAATTTGTATCCTTTTGTGAAAACTATCGCCAAAGAAGACTGCACTGTGGCAGATGCTGTCGAAGAAATTGACATTGGTAATTAAGATGTGATCCTAACATTTTTTGCCAGTTGCTTTAACTGTCCCATGCACTGGTCTCCACCAAACCTGATACTCTTTCTAGATGCACGAAGTTCTGCCCTGCTTTATTTTAGCCCATTCATTAATTATTCTTCTCCTGTCAGCCTCTCCTTTTTTTTCTGGGACCAAATCATAGATTTTGAATGGACGGTGTGTAATGCCAATGCTATCTCTCTGAGTAAAAACTTTGATTTTACAAGTTAATAACATAATGCCAACTGTACTGAACCCTCACTTACAAAGTACATTACTGCACAATACCCCTGCGTATTTGCATTAACACAATAATTATATGTGTGATCAGCAATTAATTTTAATTTAACCCCCTCCCTCCCCTCTGACTTTGCTTAGAGACAACTCTTAGTACAAGACCCTCATGCTGACAAGTATTTTATTCCCAAGGAGGTCATACATAAATGTAACTGTTACTACTTGCAGAAAGCAATGATCTGTTTTGTAACAGTCAAACCATTTGCTTTTTGCCAGCTCAGACAATTCAAAGATGATGAAGTTCTCTTTATACTTCCATGAAAGCAGAGGGGCTTCTTCATTTCTCATTCCCTCTTAACCCCCTCTTCCAACATTTTCCTTGCATAGCTTTCGTGTACTCTCTTAATAACTTTGAGCAATCCTTTTCATGCAATTTGACAAATTTAGATACATTTTCTCAATATCACCCACTAAGGCCATGTGTTTTCCTTCAAATCAGATGAAGATGCTTTACAACAATAGCAATAATTTGAGCCCCATACAGACACAATTGTTGTGCAACACACCCCCTTTCCCTTCTTTTTTACAATGCATGATGAACAACTTTTACCTTCTGGGTTTTGGTGTCATTGCATAGAGTTGAATACACATAATTATACAGAACTGACTTCTTTTTTAACAGACTTGCACAAAATGCTACTTTAACTGCTTTTTTATTATTTCTTTTGTATCAGGTGGTGTTACCCTTTTGAGAGCTGCAGCTAAGAACCATGCACGTGTCACTGTAATCTGTGATCCTTCTGATTATGAAAGGTAACAGAAATAAAGACCATTTAATTGGTGAATTATGCTATTGACACAATCCTGGGGAAGGTGACCTTGTTGTGGTCACAGGTCTACCACATCAGACTTGAGATCCAATGGTCTGCTGGTTATAGACGTGATCTTGCTATACTTTAAAGGAGCTACTTCACGTTTGCTGTATCTCGAAAAGTTTAGCTTTAGTTTTTCAAGTTCGTCATTTGTAATCCGTGTCAGTCTTCTCCACCTTGTTCCTTTATGGATTGCTGCTTTCTCTTTGGTTTTTATCTATTTTAGTAAATTATTATTTTCAGGTTTCCTTCAATTTAAAGCCAATTTCGCATGTGGCCAAACTAACTCAAAATGCTGTGACTGAGATCCTTTAACTACTCTGCTTCTCCTGTCAAAAATATCAGTTGTCAGTTGATGGGTTGTAAACTTTTTCTTGGTGGTAACCCCATTGACCAGGAAATTTTGCGAGAAGGGTGACATTTTGCCCAACCACTGTGAACAGAATGGTTGCCAAAGTGATGAACTGGTCTTTCACATTTTAAGTTGAACAAGTACTCCCAAATTGAGGGCCATCTGGGATACAACAAAGGTGGGTGTTAAATTCAATCCATCGATAAATATACCGAACTGTTGCCAAAAGTCATGTGCCAGGGCTTCCCACTCAACAAGTAATTTTTTCTTCCAGGAATTATTTCAAATTTCCGTACCATCTCATTTTTTTCTAATTTTTAATTACATTACTTGTGTGGTTGAGCATTGTTATTTTTGCATACCTTTATAAACGCAAACCATCTGTAGTACATGTAGCTCGGAGTACACCAGGATTCAAACTTGTGAACTTTAAATCCACCACCTCCAGATTACCCGGCTGAAATCTTAGCCACTTTGTGAACCTGCAAGTGATGAATTGTTAATGAAGAAAAACATTTTAAAATTCACAGTTAGCTGTAAGCCACTGATTGATTGATCAATGACCTTTGGGCTAAAATGATTTGCACAGCTATCTTACAGCAATCGACTAGTGCAGTTAAATGGCAGATGTTTTCTGCTCACCAAAATTAATGACCTGTCTTACTGCCTTGTTATCTATTTATGGATATTTTTGATGCTGGGTGGGTTTTTTTTCTTTCTCACTTTCTGCTGACATCAGGAGAATGGGTGTACTTGTAAAAGTCATCTGACAAAGCATGTGGTTTGGAGTTCTAAAACCTAAGCGATTTGCCATTTTGGTCAGTTTGGGTTCTGCTCTTGTTTGAGTGATTTCTTTCCTCTGATTTAGGGTCTTTTTAGTACAATGAAAGAATGAAGATGTTCGTAACAACTCAAGTCCTAAGGATAGAAACATAGATATCAGAATAGCCCTTGGCTTGCTAGGGTAATTCTAAGGCAAAGGACGTAAGATAAAAAGTGGATTTTGTCTTATTTGATAGAAATTAATTTGATTATAGTTATTTGCCTATAAAGTGCTGTGTACATAACACATTCACTTTTTTGTTAGACTTCTTTGCTTTATCAGTAGTAAAAATCAAAACAGCTCAAGTCCTCCACCTGATTAAGGTTAATGATTATTTGTCAATGAATGATTCTTGTAATATTTATGTTGTGTCACACAACATATAAACTCCTGAAAATCTTTTTGACCACTCGTCAAATGTACTACTCAAAAAATGTACTTTTCAAACATCAGGAGTTGGCGTCAAAAGCCTTTTGATTAACTCGTACATTTTGATAGCATGTTATATGTAAGAGTTGTGGGTGGATCTGTATCCTTTAGTTCTGTCTTCACACTTATGAACTCATGTATGTTCATCATTCATTAACTTCCATCCTGGTGTCTGTAGACATGGTTTGTCTGCCTTCTGAACTAGCTTCACCAAGCAGTTTATCGCAGTACTGATTCCCTTGGTTACTAATGGATCTGATATTTTCTTTAAATTGTTTCTTTCCACTTTGCAGTCACTGATGAACCTTAACACCCATGCTGTTACTCTTATGGTCTGCCAGTAGGCACTTCTCTCCAGCAATGCATCCCACTTGTCCAACTTGAGCTCTTGTGAGCAAAGGACTGTTTCTTGGGTGGCCTTACACCCATTATCTGTGCATTTGGTGTTGTTTAGCCTTGGCTGCTGTGGTCACAGCCTCTCATCCAAGAACCCATCTGGACCAATCTTCATAATGGTTACCCCTCTATTTCCAAGGTCTGCAAGATTCACATCTTATGGGCAGTACTTCCAAGTGGTGTTGACTGGTTCAGTGGTCTCTGTTATCTTCTTCACTCTATTAGCCACAAACAGTTTCCATCCCTTCCTAGGATTGGTTATCTAATATAATGCTACCATATGCTGTCAATCCAAATGGTGATAGACTTGATGGACCATCACTGGAAAGTAGTGCAAAGGTTCTTTGCCATGTTCGCTGCCATATGATCACTCACAATCTCCAGTCTGGCTATGGAAGTATTTCTCTTTGATATTCATGTCTTTGTTGTTAAAATCCCTTTGGCCACACCTGTCTCATGTTCTACAATGGCAACAGCCATTGCAGAGCATGCTAGGATGTTCGTGTCTGTGAAAAAAATGTAAATTGACTGCATCCATCTCTCTAATAGAGGTACATGTGGCAACACTTTTAGGTACCCATCTTTAAGTTGCTTTGTCTACTTGAGCCATTGGCTCCTCAAATGAGTGGAGACTTCTGCGTTTCAGCCCTTCTTTTCATCATGGGCTTCTTGATGGATGTTCTTTCCCTCAGCCATTGTGGGGGAGATTATCCCGCTTGGGTCATACACAGTTCCTAAGTAACTGAGGATAGTACGCTTAGTCACTGGCTGTTTTGGTGGAAAGTGGAAAGAACTTTGCAGGCAGCTCCATTGTATCATCCTCTTTGTTTCATGTACATCCTAGAATCTCGCCAGGGTTTGGGATGCTTTCACTCTCAAGAGATTTTACATTTCATTCTCTTTTGTGAACTGGAAATGTAGTGCACTTAATTACGACAGTGCTCTCTTCTTTGCAGTCTGAGCTTCTCATTATCTCTTGCCGTTTGCATAAGATTGTCAACGAAGTAACAAGGAAACACCACTCTATTTCACTCTGAAACTGTGAACATTAGAGGAAAAGTCCAAATAACAATAATGTGAGGATGTAGGTCCCAGTAGTCCTGGCTGACCAGACCAACTCGTCATTTATACCACACCTAAACAACAAGGAGAAGAACAACATTAAAACCAAGACCTAAGGTTCATGAGCCTGGAAAATATGGGAAGGGTTGGACCATGGTCAATCTTGCCTCCTTTATCTCTATGTAATTCATATTGTACCTTAGCCGCATAGCGACCCTTGCATAATCTGTTATTAAACTTCAGAATAGTCGTCTCATAATAAAATAATTTGTAAGTTCGAAGAGCCCTCATGAACCTTTGCCAACTGAGACCTGAGACTTGAGTCCTGAGACCAGTCAGCTAGATTAAGAATGTCTGTCAGGGAAACCCCTGCATTCATGGCTGCTGAGGAGGCTGCATCCCTGACATGATCAACCTTAAATATACCAGTAACCACCCCAGCTTCAGACAAGAATGCTACAGTCATTCAAGGTTTCTGAGGAAATACAGGTGTAGGCTTATGGGGATGAATATAAAAAAGCAATAATATGTTTGGTTTGGAGTTGTCTGAGCAAGGCCTTAGTTCAATTCTCATATTCCTGTAGACAATTCACCACATATGTGACCTCTTACGCGAAAATGTCACTAGGGGATATCCATTAAACGGTCAAAATGAACGGCTGGCGAACAGCTAATGAACAGATGAGAAACGGATGTTCCATCCCTTCAAAACAGTTTTAAATACCATTCGAACGGCCACGGAAAAATTTTGAACGGATGCTGTAAACGTTCGAACAGCACTGGAAAATTTTCAAATGGATGATGCCAGCCGTTCAAATGGTGCAGGAAAAATTCAAACGGGTGACACCAGCCATTCGAATGGCGAGCGAAAAATTTTGAACAGGCGATGCCAGCCATTCAAACGGCTAACAAAGAATTTCGAACGGATTCATTATTCTTTTATCCATTTTTAGCAATGCATGACAAAATCCTATCAAGAAACCATTGCGTGACAGACAAATTAAGTCGACATTGGATGCCATATTTACATTTCAGCATGCAGTATGAGCGAGGAGAACAGCACATAAGTATTTTGCTTTAGCAAGCAAGGGACTGATGCTGGAAGGCTTCCCTACTTTTATGGATTGCTGTTTAAGAAGAAGGAATAGGAATTTGGTGGATTATCTTGGAGTCATTGATTGAATGTCAATAAGAAGATGATGTACTTTGCCGAACTCCACCCATCGCAATGGTTATCATGTAGGATTCTGAATACACATACCAGTACTTAACAATTGAATGCAATATCTTACAGAAGGTGAGCTAAACAAAATCCAAACACCGAGCAAATCAAATGCAAGAAGACATTTTCACGTTGCTTTTGATAATCTCGTCACTGGCACTTGCTTATTGTTTTCGTTTCTAGCAGGTTGGTGTTGTGATCATCATGATTTTGAGAGGGTCAGTGCTCAGAGCTGATGAAAAGCCTGAAAGTAATTTTTATACCAGGTTTTACTCTAACATTTCATCTTTCAAAATGTCAGAATTTTAGGTGTTTTGGTGTTTTACCGGGTAGCAAATTTGGCGATTGAAAAAGTGTGCAAAATTAAGAATTTTGAGGAATCAAATTTTAGTGCTTTTAAGCAGCTTGTTGCGAACTTGAAAATTAACACACAGAAGTATAATTGGCCTCAAAAGACTTGTAAACCACTCAACAATACATTTCTAGGCTCAAATTGGAGTGTTATTGTGATGCGGAGTGAACAGAGCGAAGCTTATGATCAAGTATGAGTCACTAAATTTTACGTGTTTTTGAGCAGACGTGGGACCGTAACGAATTTGTGATTTTTTGGTGGGTTAAAAAAACGTTTCAAGAAAAAAAATCCCACTACATCTCTAT